TCCGCTTAGCAGCTGGTTGAGATAGTGGATGGTCGTGAAGCACATAAGACCCTTTGAAATTCCGTATATTGTTTGTCAGTGACGTAACGGCCACCGAATAATTTACTTCTTCCTTTGATATCCAATATTACACAGTATGTTTATTCTTCTTAAGCATGGACCATTCAAAATTCTTCTTCTTCCAAATTCATTACTTTTATTGTTTATTTGAAGAAATCCATTACCGAAGCCCATCAATCACTGTTACAAGCTTATGGTGATGCTGTTCCATCATATCGCAATTGTCGGTTTTGGTGGGATTCAGTGAAAATGCCATAACTTGTTTTGGAAAAACTGTCCAAGGTACACAATTCAGCTCGAATGAGAAGTTCTGCCACAACCCAGCGTACTCGCTAGTCATGACGCCTAATGATGCAGCAGCCGTGTTCAGAACGGTGCAGCACGGTTTGGATGGCACGCGGTTCAGCAAAGTTGAAGAAACGCGACAATGGGTCGATGATTAGTTCACTGCCAAACCAATATCGTTCTTTCGACATGATATCGCGGAAACTATTTTGTTTTCTTCGTTTTATTCTGTCAGTTTTCCAAGTAAAAGAATTATACAAAAATTAACGCAACCTGCTGAAGTTAAGCTAATTGCCACGGGAAGGGCAAGCAATTTCTTGACTTGGATAGAATAATTGTGCATTTTTTTATGGCAAATGCTATTGTCGGACGAATTCTCTTTATATCTGGAATTTTTGATAGCATCGCTATAGCTGAAGCTATCTTACTACTACTACTATACACTTTAAAGTTTGCCAACAAAAATCTTAAAAAGACAAACTTTTCATTCGTTTAGGATGCGGCTTTTTACCAACAAAGAGAAATCAAAAGTCACAAAGTTGTCTGAAAGATGCTAAAAAGTCATAGGCAACAAAGTCCACTCTGTGTATAAGAAGAAATGAGTTTTATTTCGAAGTAAAGAAAAGCGTAGTTAACAAATCCTTTAAGAAAAGCAGTTTTGTCAACTTCCCTCAGGATGCAATCATGCAAATTTTAACAAATAAATTTGGAATATTTTACGAAATCTCTGATCATTGATTTTCACTTTACTATATATAACGATCGTTGTTAAAATTTATTTGATTGGTTAAGAAATTGCATTTCATAAAGTATTTAATGTTCGCGTTTGATTGACTTTTCGTTTGATTTCTCAAGAAATCTTACGTGCATACATGATATTTAAGCCTACGATATTATTATCTCAATTTATACATTGAACAAACATACATACGATAGTATTCTTTTGTATAAAATTTGAATTTAACCCAGTTTATAGGAAATTTTAACCCAAATACATAACATTATTACAATCGAAAAGGAGAAAAAGAAAAAAAATTTAACTTTTTTTATGTATACACGAGAACTTAATGAAATAAAAACCTTCAATGAATACGCAAAAAAAAAAAAGAAAAGAAAAAAAAAAAATTAAACATTCATAAAGCATGTAATATGGTGTATAGAGAACAGAGAGAGAGAGAGAGAGAGAGAGAGAGAGAGAGAGACAAGTAACTTCAAGGGCAATCTCACATAGGAAAAGCGTTTCTTTCTTTCTTTCTTTCGCTCCTTCCTCCTCCACACAGTAAGTACACAATGCAATAATTTTTGCAGACTATATGTATAAAAATCTTGCATGCAATACGAAAATAATTTCAATTTAATTTAAAAATTCACTCAAAACGATACGTATGTTTAAACTTAGGCATTGTTGTTGAATAGCAAAAGCGAATGCAAAGAAAAACACACATTTGCATATATGTATGCGTGTGTATACTTTCGTAAATACAACAACGAATGAAATAACCATGATGATCAAAAAAAAAAAAAAAAAAAAAACAAGAAAAAGAAAAAGGAAAAATTTAACAAAATGTTTAACATTTCACCAGCAAAATACTTACTACCAGAGAACATACAACAATGAATACTCATATCATACGGAAACAGTAAAAATAGAAACTATTACACAAACATATACATATACATCGCAAGCTTATGGCAAATATGCAGTCAGACAGACTCAGCCGCACATACACACACACACACACACGAATACATACATAGATAGAAAGCAAACATTCAGTGAAAAACTTTCAATGGCATAACACAGGGTGGCTTAAGTTTTTATGCAAGAAAATGCGGCAAAATGTTTAAATAAAAGTTGCAAAAAAAAAAAAAATTAAAAAAAAATATTAGAGAAGAAATGAGGCGAAATCAACAATTGAGGACACGCCTGAAGTGGCAAACAAAAGTGAAAATTTGCCAAAAATGCATAAAAATTGATATAAAAAGTTAAAAAAAAAAAAAAAAGAATACACTCAAAAAAAAAAAAAATAATAAAATAAAAACAAGAAGAAGAGATATTCAAAATAATGAATTTCATTTTAGCCATTTGAAGTGTTAAGGAAACTTTTTTATGAACACTTGACTCAACAAAGAAAATCTAGAAAATTATGTAAATTTAGGTTGAATCCAGTAAGAGCGACAGAGAGAGAGAGAGAGAGAGAGAGAGAGCGAAAGAGAGATAGAGAGAGGTATGCAAGAAAAAAAAGAACAAATGAATGAGAAATGTACATTCAGCTTGAGACGACTATAAAACAACCATCATACTGCTGCGCACACAGTCAAAATTGATGCACTAATGAATTCCATATCGGTCGACCAATAGCATGAACATATATATGCATACAATTTCAACAAAACTAGTGAAACAAAAAAAAAAAAAAAAAAAGTTTTTTTGTAAACCGCATAGAGCCAATAGATCCTGTGACTCATGCCAGGCTTAGGATTGATCCTAATCTGAAAACAGCGCAGCAGAGTTTATAACGTAGGTAGACGGATAACTCGACTGAAAGCTTACTGATCAGCTTGCTCTGCTATATCCCTAACAATCATTTCCTGCCAGCAATAAGAGATAATTACGTGTGTAAGAAGAATGTGGACAATTTTTTTCTAAACATGTTCAGGGAATCATTCAAGGATTTCAAAGTCAGACATTTCTTAAGCACTTTTTTGGTTCCAATTAAGGAAAACATTGAAGTCCTTTATATTAAATTAGACATACGATCAGCGTAAATATGAAGCTGTCGCTCATCTTTGCTATGAAATCGGGGTTATATTCTAAAAGAGATCTTATATTTTTTTATTTTTTTATTGTTTTTTTTTTTTGTTACTCCTGTAAGACGAACTACGATTCATGGGCCCAAAGTTCGTCTTTTGCGTGGCCTTAAGGTGAGCTCAGTGTTGAATTTTTATTCTTAAGCTACTTCAACTTTCCCTTAATAAAATTGCGATTCAATATCAAAGACCAGCTAAATTAGATTAAACACCAAAAGACTTTATGTAAATAAGGGATGACCTATATTACTACTAAAAGGGCTGATCTGCATATAAAAACGTGCAAAGTGCTTCAAAATCACATATTTCAAAAACGCGTCTCCAAAGCATTGCCAATATCGTGCAAGTGATGATAGATAAAAATGAAGATTTCCTACAATATTTATTAGTGGCAATTAACTGCAGTGGAGAACCAGACCTAATTAACGCATAAACACAACCATTAGAATGTACAACTTATAACAAAGGATATAATGATATAAAATTTAGAACAAAAATCGTATCCCGATCATATAAAATATTAAGTCCGCTACTATCAAAACGATTTGTTCCTGTTCATATATATGTATGTACTTGCTTGTTGACAGTTGACATCCAAAACTTGTGTAAAAATCAAATCAATTTTCAATTATGTTCAACCAAGCCTCCTTTTAGGGTTTCACTTCGATTAGTAGGATTAGTAGATGTAGTAGCCGTCTAAAAGTCAGTCCGAATGTCCTAAGTGTTATGCATATATTACATAAGCCTATCTAGTATTTTGCACATATATATTTTAAGATTTAAAATTCTTTGCTCGCTCCAATAATTAGGAATAAATTAAAAGGTGAACTCAATTAAGTTCATCTGCATTGACAAACACTAGTAGGCTTAAAAGCAATTATATTATTGTAGATTTTGTTATCGATTGTAAATTCCATTAGTACGAAGATGCAATAAATAAATGCAAATTGTAAAGAGAGAAACCTGGGTTTTTTTTTTTTTTGTTTTTTTTCACTTACCTTCATACGACGCATTATTTATTTATTCTTCATTTTCAGCTCAAGTTCAAGTGAATATAAAAATTTTTATTTCTTGTCTTTCAATATTTACATACATGTAGGGGTGTTGCGAATGCCAGCACAAATTTATTATACTGCAAATAATAATAATAATGCAAAAAAAAAAAAAAAAAACTTTAATTAGTTACTGAGTTGAAATATTATTTTTTTCATTTAATTACAGATTTGACAAAAGAAAAGAAAAAAAGTAAATAAATAAATAAAAAATACTTCCAAAAAAGGTCAAAAGAGCAAAATGAATTCATGAAAGGTTCCTCGTTATAATATAACAACAACAACAACAACAACAAATATACAGTATAACTCAATAGTATTGGAAAATTTAAATGTAATAAATGCATAGATAATGACTGAAGTGGGAAAAGTAAAACTGAAACCAAAAGGAAATGAAAACAAATTAATTGGTGCCACTTGGACTAAGCACTAACAAAATTTCAACAGATAAGACCGAGAAGAAGAGGATGAAAATCAAAGCAATATATATATATATATTTGTATGCACAACAACAAAGCAAACAAAAAGAGGAAAAATTCCCTAAAGAGGAACATTATCAATACAAACTACAAACTATAAATAAGAATAAATTGCGAATCAAGAATGAAAAATAACTAAAATAAAAAAAAAAATCAGACATTTTCAGAAGAAGAGTAAATGCAGAAAAAGAATTAAATTTCACGAGAGAAACTTAAATTACAACTTCCCTAGGAATACTATAGCGCGAACAGAGTGCAGAGTAACTAACTCATTTAGTAGCATTTATTTGGTGATTAAACAAAAAAAAAAAAAAAAAAAAAACTTAAAATAAATAAAACTGCATCGTACAAACACACAACGAATAACATAGAGAACGACAGAGGCGGCGCCGACAACGACGACGGCGATTTGTTTGGCGCGTGAACGACGACAACGGCAACGAATTGAATTGAATAATCATTCAAACAAGATTAAAACATGGATTTGTTTAAACAAAATGACAGCATGCCAATGACCTGGCTGACATGGCGTCAATTTGTAGGCCTTATAACTCTAGTGGTGTTTGTATGCAATTTAAATATCACAACCGGTCAAATCGATTGGGACGACGACGATGATCCAGGTAAGTTATCTATTTAATAGTGACTGTCTGTTACATGCAATGTAATTACTAGACAGGCTCGATAATTTAATTAGCCGAATAGACACATACACGGTAACGAATAAAATCCGAGTTAACAGCAATAATGTAATCATACACATCCAAACAGAGGCAGAGTGAATCTATTTTCTATCTATCTTCGGTGAATAGATAGCTAGCTAGCTGAAGGAAATTTAAAGCAATTTTTGATGTCTACCTTACTTAGTTAGTTAGTTAGTTAGTTAGTTGCGACACATTATTTGAATATCAATTTTTTTGTTTTCTCTCCCTTTCTTTTTTTTTTTTTTTAAGAGCAAATCTTTTCTTTTTTGCAGTTTTTTTTTTTTTTTTTGATAGTTTTCGCAATAGAGGGAAATCTTCTTCTTCTTCTTCTTCTGCTTGTTCACTGTATTATTATTATCTAAGAGTTGTTTATTATTAAATTGTATGTATGTATGTAGTGCAATGAATTTCAAAAATGGTTTTCTGCAATCAATTCTATTACTTTTCTTGCTCTATTTATTACAGTTGACAAGTACTATACTTTATCAATTTTGTACGATTTTCAAAACACTAACAAAACAGCAAAGCAGTCAATACACACACATAGTATACATACATAGTATTCAAGTATCTTTTATTTTATATTTTTTTCTCATTTGAAAAATTTCGTACATTGACATTTGAAATCGTGACCCAGTTATGTGCATTGCATTTCCCATTTGGAAACATGAAAACTTTTGCTTTAGTTGACTTCATGAAAACAAAGGTTAAATGTGAAATTTGTTTTTTTTTTTTTTTTTTTTTAAATTCACATTTATGGAAAGTATAGCCAGCACCAAGTCCTGCAAAACTTTATCTTACGCAAAAAAATTATAAAAAGAGTAAGTATTTTATGGATTCCTTGCGCGGGATTATGAATTAAAATCGTCTAAAATCTAACCTATCAGTTGAGTATAGTTATTTGCTTAGTTGCTTAGATCATTAAAGTCAGTATAATTTAATTTCCATATCCTCTATAGGATAGGATTATATTGTATGCAAAGCATACAAAATATATGCACTATGCTGGGTGTAGTTGAGTGTTTTTTTTTTTTTTTTTTCAGAATATTTTATTATTGTTGTTGTCGTTGTTCCATACTTTTCACAGAATGCAAATTAAGATCCATTTTATGGGTAACATCATAAGCATGGATAAACAGATGATAAGCCATCGATTGAAGTCTATGTTAACCATAAGAAACACTTTCGGATAAATATCACGTCCAGGCCATCATATTAACGCTTCCTGAATAGGTTTTTGATATGTGAACGCTGTCAACCAGCTCGTAAAGCGTTTCCACACAGCAAACACATTTTTCCCTGTAATAATGGGAGCTTTAATCATTTGATTACAGCAATTCATTCCATATGAATGAATCAGTGAATATATCTCTGCATCATGAAGAGTACGCGAGCTCGAAACGTTTCCTATAAACAGTAACTTGATCGCAAATTCGCGAGTAACGAACGTTTGGTTCACTTTGACTCATAGACGGATCCTTTCTTTTCGAATGTATAAAATATTGTATATTTCCCATATGACAAATATAGTATGCGAATGTATTTTTGCTCGATTTTATTGCTTTCAAGCTAGTGTTTGATAGTAGAAAATCCGGTCGATTATAAATCTTCTTTTACCGTAAGTCATACAACCATTAAAAGGTCCCTGGATTAAGTATGAGAATATATTTTTTCCTAAACATGGACATGATTTGTCAAGACGGTCATGAAACATGTCAATGTCACCAATATTTGATACAAATCTATTCCTGTGGAGAAGCTTGTTGAGATTTGCGAGTAAGCAATAGTCGCTGAGAAGAAACCGACGGGTGGAACAGTACTTCCGACTTGCGGGTAAACGAAGCATCCATTTTTATGGAACAATAATAAATGTTCCGTCTTTAGTTATCTTTAGGATATCATCGATATCGCGTAAATTCATCAACATCGCGAATAATTTTCAAAATTCTTTTCATATTCTCTTTCTTCGGTCTGGCAAGCCCCGGACAACAAGTGGTTTTCAATGGCAAAAAAGTTGCCGTCGCACTTTTCAACCCAACGGTGAGCTTGAATAATATTTACTCCCCTCAAAAAGCAATGTTTAATTAGAAGGACGATATTCGAGTTTCTCTATTGCCATTGATGAAATTTTTAAACGAACGACCGCATTGCCACGAAATTTTTATAGGCGTTGTTTAGCGATTGGAATATATAATGACTTTTTTGGTTAGAGACGATATGCTTGTGTCAGGCTCCCAGCAATGATTAACCGAAATGTCGTAGTTTTTCTATACTTTACTGTATTCCTCAGTCGTAGCTTCAGTGAACGATTTTTTTGGCAAATTCGATTGCATCCCCAATCCTAGTTTATCATCCCGTTGTAGTTAGTTTAACTTACTTCTTTTAATTTCTCCCTTGCGTTTCTTTTTCAATTGCAAATTATAATGTGCTTTATAAGCAATCTCGTCTTTCGTCTCATCCAATTGCATCTATATAGGGACTATCGCAAACAATTAGGATTTATTTAATTCTTCATTAATTCTTGCGAATATTTAATAGAGATTTCATAGGACATGAGGCGAAACTAAACTATTGCCTCTCATAGAAAGATAAAATTTGAATTAAAATAATTAGGCGGATAGCTTTAGCACCCTTCTTATTGCTTATATGGTATAATCATTATTATTATTATTATATTGTATTATTATTATTATTATTATAATTATTATTTTATTACCATTTCTTAATTATTTTATTTTTATAATGTATTTCTTTTAAGTTGCTTTTTTTTATTATATGATGTTATTTTTTTTTTTTTATTATTTTTTATTTATATTATATTTTTTTTTATTATTAATATATGTATATATATCTAATAATATATATTTAATTAAAATTTAATAATTATAATAAAAAGAGGGGAGTTTATTGTAATAATTTGAGGAATTATAGTAT